TGGCACCAGTTCTTTGCCCCATACAAGCCAGCACGCTCAGCAGTCGAAGTGGCTCGTCTGCCGAAGGATGTGCTGGTAGAGATCGAAGCCATTGCTGCAGTCAGCGCCTGATCCTTTGTCCCATCGGACGTCGTGCAGCCATTCATGACGCTGCGCAAGGAGCCGCAGTGTGACTGCAGTAGAGTCGATTGCAATCTCAGTCATCTCGTGTCATTCTTCTGAGCTTTGAACTCCACAAGAGCAAGGAGTGGAGTGAGGAGTGGTAAGCGTAAAGAAAGCAGGGTGGCATTGCGCTTGTATTATGATCGTGGCGAACGAAATGAGATTCGTTTGCCGGGGGAAAGCGTGTGTGCTGTGAAGCGCTACTCAGGCCGGGCCTGCTTCCATCCATGTGCGCCGCAGGCGTGAGTGATGGTGCGTGCCTTGTGAATCTATAATTTGCCCTTGATGGCGGCGTTGGCGGCGTTGGCTGCACTGACGGGCTGACCGTCGGAGCTAGATCGACTGCCTTGCGCCTTTAACCTCCAAGCCTCTCTGATCTCATCCACCACGAGTTCGTAGTACTTTGCTCCCTCCTTTTTGCTCTTTGTATTAGGTTCCTGATCCCATCCATGTTTTCTCTGCGTGGCGGTGATAAACGTAGCGCGCACTTGCTCATCTTGAGCGGAAGAGGGACGCTCCTTGTTGAGCTTGTTGATCAGGTCTTGTCCGTCAGTGTACAGCGTATCCAGATCGCCTGCTGCGATCCACACCCTCTTTGGAAAGCTTTCGGAGGGGGCCAACAGAACGCTTAGACGAGGATCGCGCACGTTGGTGCCCTTGGGAATATAAGATTGGCTGAAAAATTTGAATAGACGTACGAGCAGACTGGGAGGTTTGCCACCTGGGGCGGATTTGGAGCCGTCGGGCTTGGTGAAATCGGTGACGGGATAGAAGCAAGCGATGGCTTGAATCCTATCCTCCTGCGCGTCTGCCTGCTTGGTGAAGAGCGTGCTGCCGACCAAGGAGAGATTGCCGCCGGCGGAGAATCCGCTCAAGGCTACGTAATCCGTATCCAGTCCCTGTTCCACCTTTGCGCGCTCGAAAAACCAACTCAGCACGTCGCTCACTTCGCGCACTGCCCAGGGAAAGGGCCATTTGGGAGCTTTGACATAGTCGACGTCTAGCACGGTGCACTCTAGTCGTGCGGCCATGTGGGAACAGAAGAGCGAATCCAAGCCGTGATTGGGCAAGACGAAACCGGAGCCGTGCCAATTCAGTATGGTACCGCGAGGCTTGGAGACGCCTGTAGGCGTGTAGATGATGATGGGCAATCGTCGACGGGTGGAAGGTGCGCGAATGTAAATCGTTCGACGCGACACTGCTCCGGATGGAACGTGCTCGTTGTAGGAGCGGAAATAGTAGCCGATCAGAGCGAGAGGTCGAAGGAGACAAAAGAGGACATTGGCAATGAGACGTAGACGCAGGTATTGCAGCGTCCAGGCGTGACTGCCTGCAGGCTCGCCAGTAGGTCTGCTTGTTGCGGCGGTCATGATGTGCTGCCGAGGACTGAAACGGGGAACGATGCTGATGATGATGATGATGATGATGATGATGATGATGT